AAAGCTCTGAAAAATAAAATAATTTCATTTTCAGATATAATAAAAAATTAATTTCCTATGCAGCTGTAAAAAAGAAGGATCTCTTATCCTATGCGACAGCATGGAGGGAACTGGAGAGTATTATGTTAAGCAAAATAAGCCAGTCAGAGAAAGACAAGTATCACATGATCTCACTTATATGTGGAATCTAATGTACAAAATAAAATAGATTCAGAAACATGGAAGCATGGAACAGACTGATGAATCTTGGAGGGAAAGGGGATGGGAAGAGATTAACCAAAGAACTTATATGCATACATGCATAACCCATGGACACAGACAATAGTACAGTGAAGGCCTGGGGGTGGGGAGTGGGGTGGATGGGAACACTGGGGTAAAAGGGGGGACATCTGTAATGATTACAATAATAAAGATAAATTAAAAAAAACTAATCTGAATAGCAAAATTACTGCTTTTAAATGTACAGTAGTATGTCCATTCTAAAAACAAAACCTAAATCTGTTAAGAAAACTTTTCAAATATTTTATTAAATTCTCCAGTAGTTGAAAAACAACCTTTTATGAAAAGACCTATTTATACCACTTTATTTCCTTTTCTCTGATTCTACATTTCACTTTGCAATCTGCAGACCTTCATTCAGTTTCCCAGATGGGGAACTCCAGCCCCCTCATATTTTTGAGAACTTGCTCAGAGTGGGTCACACAGAAATATGGCTCCTCTGGCAAGTATTGATGTCACTGTTTGACTACAGTTTAATACTTATTCCAATTCACACAATTCTTCCATGAGGATGGTAGGATGAACCTGGTTAGCTAGCTTTAGATGAATACAGCATGACCAGACTTTGGAATAAAAGGTGATCAACTTTAGGATAAAAATTTTTCCCCAGCTATAAATCTTCACGAGCCCTCTCTTCTAATCACCATAAAAAAACAGGGGAAATGGGAGTGGGAAAGATACACAGCACAGCAAATAGGGATACTGCAAAATGCTTATCAGAGAACTTCCTATAATGCCAGAAACTGGATGCATCTATGCCTATCTTGGCATTTTCCTATCCCAAATTTTCTAAGCATAAACATTTAAGAGTTAGTGGGGGACGCAGGACTATGGTTTATAGAATCCAGTCAACTTAAGTGGTCCCACTGGCGTTCCCAGCACTTTCCCTACTCTCAATTCATTGAGAAGACCCTCTTTCTCCCCCTGACAAGCTCAGAGAACCCTATCTCTTTGCTTAAATGGTGACCTGGCAGCTAAGAGATTAATTTCCTGGCTTTGAAGAGAAAACTCAGGAAGCTGCAGATGTTTATAGGAATTATTTCATCTTAGTGACCTATTAACCTGTCTCTTAACACATCTACTAATTTCTCTTCTGATTTGATAAGCACCAAACTATGGTTTTATTCTCATATTCCCTCCTCCTTAGTTCTATAAACTGTTTTTTTGTGTGTGTCTATAATCACATCAACTTCTTTACTACTTGCTCCAAAACTTTGCTCTTTTGAAGTGATATGTTCTGTGAAATAGATTAAAATAAAATACATTATTTGCTTACAGAGACTATACAGAACAGCAACAGGGGCTGGAGATACAAAACACAGACACTAACATCAAGGTCATACAAAATATATAGAAGTACCCAACACTGACAATTTTTGTAAGAAGTTGCACATTTTGCTATTTCCCCACATTTTTTTCTTCTGTGGATCCTCTGGAGTTAAGATTGAATGTCCTCTGCAGTGTTTCTGAAATTCATTAGGACTGGAACATACTGATGAATCCCTTTTCTGTCCAAAACAATGAGTGCTATACATGAAAGGTCTCCTCACATATAATAATAAAGTTTATTTACAGTGTAAGCTTTCTGATGCTAAGGGCTGAGATGTGATTATAGGCTTTGCCATATTACCACATACAATAGATTCCCTTCTGGAATGAATTATCTGATGTACCTAAGATGTGAATTGTCTCTGATGACAAACATATTGATCTCTCTGTACATATTTAGCATAGTTTTTTATGCCTTTAATAAAATATTAAGTGCCTTCCATATAAAGATGCCTCATACATCTCTATTCCCAGGCTTTCTTTCGCCTTGCCTGCCAGGCCAGAGTAGAAACAAATACCCCACATCTTGAAGAACTTTACTTCTCTTCCTGGCAAGGTTAAGGTATTGTTTTAAAAAGTCCTTCAAAAAACTTCCATTAGGTCAACTAACATGCTACTGGTTAACTATGGAGTAAACTCTTAACAGACTTCAGCCAGTCAAGAACTTCTGAATGACTATCCTAAACACTAATTAGACGTTATAAGCCTTTTGACCATGAGCCAATTACACTTTGCATGGAGCAGCTGAAAAATGCAAAGCAAATGGTTTTAATCAACAGTTGTAGCCTGCTTTCTTCAGGAAACATCTTCGAGTAGTTGCTTCAAAGATGGCATCTGCTGAAGATCTGAAGCAACCAGTGGCTATCCCACAGAGTACAATATCCCAGAAAAGTGGGAATTAAATGTGGGGGCACAGGTTATTTTAACTTTAAAAAAAAAAAAAAAAAAGATGGGTAAATTTCATCATGTTCTGGCTAAAAAAAAAAAAAAGCCAATGTGGAACCAACCAAAGTTCTTTCCTTCTTAAGAACAGTCAGTGCTTTGGTCAGTGCCTGGACTTAAGCAGCTCACTGCTTTCAGTTGCTTCCCAGCAGCAAGTCTTTGCTCAAAAGCACCAAAGGTTTTCTGCACAACCATTGCTGTGGCTTACTTTGAAGAAAATCCTAAAAGCATTTCTTCTACTTTCACGTTACTATAAAATATTCCTTAGGTATGTTTCTGGAGTATTTTTCTAAATTGAATGAATAGAAATATTCTGATCACCAGCTGACTTCCTTGAAGTTTCCCCAGGCAACATTGATGAAACTGCTTAGAAACTATAGAGAAGCTGTAGTTGGTCCAAGTTATAGATATAGAGAGGCCAAAGAATTACTGCTGTGCAGATTTTAGTTTGGTTTGCAACTGAGGCAACAGCTGCCCCCACCTCACTGGCTCCCCATAAAGCCACACTATTTCACAGGCTTGAGCTGTTGGTTAGCAAACAAAATGATGAGTTTTAGTTCTGTTTCTTGATGGAAAACCTCAATCGCTATGTGGGGGTTTCCTGTTACAGGGATAATCTTCAGGTATGTTCTTATTCTATGTGTCTGTTACCGGAGGGCTGTCCACAATCTTTCGCATGCTCTCAGGAGCAGAGTCATCTCTACCCAAGTCTCTGATGACTACCTACGTATCCCCCATACTTGGGTCTCCTGTATGTGTATCTGAAAAGTCTCTGTCATTAGCTTCCAGGCAGCTAATTGCAACCTCCCGCACAGATGATGGAATATTGAAGTTTTATAACCTCACCCCAGTCTTTAGCGAGGAGAAAGAGAAAAGAAACTGTAGTATGACTGATATAACCAACCACATCTTAGCAAGTTGGTGAACTTCGCAGAGCAACTAACACATTTGGTAATGGCCAGCTAATGATGTCAAATGCTTTTGTGAAGTGTCTGGAAAGTGTGAGGGAAAATGTTTCCCTACATCTTCCTTTTTCTGAAAAGCAACAAAAATTATGTAGTCTGAACTATATTTAAAGTTACACATGATTCAGAAAGTGCCCAAAGCCTCGTGTTGTTCAGCAGCTGACTGAAGAAAATTCTGGCTAAGATCTTTGCCATAGAGAGATGTCAAAAATGGCCTTAGTAAGTTTTTGTACTTTTCTTATGATGATGATAATGGAGTCATTTCTGATATTCCATGGTATTTACTCACTGATCCATGTTTAGATAGTCTATGCAGACAGTTAATCAGTGCCTTTCTTTTATATTTAGAACAAAAACATTATTAAGACCCTGGAGCTTTAGCATGCCTCAGGCTCTGAATGTCCTCTTGAAAAGCTGGGCCAGGCTACCATGTTTCAGGTACTCAAAATTCACAGGGCTTCATTGTAAGTGCAAAAGTCCTGTTAGAATCAGGCCACTTTTGTGTTCAGTACTGTGTCCAGTGCTGTCAGGGATATAAATACATCTCCTGTCAATCAAAGCATTGTTTTTGGGGAGTGATGAAAGCTTTCATAGATGAAACAATGAAGGATTAAAAGACAGTATATAATCAAGTGCTAACTTGTGGAGAAATGCATTTCAGAGTGCGATTAGTGCTTTAGAGATTTCTTCCAGAAGGGAGAGAAGTGTTTTGAATCGCTGTTGCCATTTCAGTAGAATTTATCTCAGCGATGAGGATAAAACCATCTACATTTGCGGCAGTCCTTTGGAACTGTAGACTGGTGCACATACCCTCTCTTTCAGGAAGAGATAGAAATCTTTGGTTTGATACTGATAAGCACAGTCCTAGATTTCTATACCTTTGGTAGGCTACCAGTGATCATATATGATAACTTATCATATATATAACTAGTTTCAGCAGCATGTCCCAATGTAGTTTTTGTCTTAACTGTCCCTCTTTTTTGAGAAATAAGGTAGAGCAAGATGCTGGCTAACTAGGGCTTGTTTGCAGCAAGCAGCTTTTGACTTCAGTATCATTTCTACAGAGCCAATCTTAATCTTTCAATTCTATACTGTGGTTGCTGAGAGTCGAATAGTGCCTTAAAGGTATCCTCATTACTGAAAAGCTTGACATTTTCTGTGTGTGCTTTTATCACACATGAAAATATGTGGCTTATCCATTTAACTAGCTTTTCCCTACAGGGCTGTATGGAAGAATTACATGCCCACACACTATGCAAAGGCAGCACACTGCTAATCTAACTATAAGGATCCTTAAAAGTGTGATTTTTCTTTTTTAATCTGTTGAGGATGTTTTTTCCCTTCCATGAGCACGTCTCTGAAATAATTTTAGAAACAAAAGGGGGAAATGGCTTGTTGACAAATTCTCACTTTACACACAGCTTTTCAGGAATGCTCCAAATGCATCAAGAGAGGCTGGGCTATACTCAGAGGCTCGCTCCCTTGTATGGATTCTGTGATGCAGAGTGAGGGTCGAGCTCCGGGTGAAGGCCTTGCCACACTTAGTGCACTTATAGGGCTTTTCTCGAGTGTGAATTCGCCGATGCAAAATAAGGTATGAGTTTCGGTTGAAAGCTTTTCCACATTCGCTACATTCATAAGGTTTCTCTCCTGTGTGGATTCTCTGATGTTTTGTAAGGTCTGAGCTCTGGCTGAAGGCCTTCCCACACTCATTACATTCATAAGGTTTCTCTCCAGAGTGAATTCGCTGATGTAGAATGAGATTTGAACTATGACTGAAGGCTTTGCCACACTCATTACATTCATGAGGTTTCTCTCCCGTGTGGATTCTCTGATGCAGTACAAGATTTGAGTTCAGACTGAAGGCTTTCCCACACTCACTGCATTCATAGGGCTTTTCTCCAGTGTGGATGATTTTATGGCGAATAAGGCTTGAACTCCTTGTGAAGCATTTACCACACTCATCACATCTATGAGACTTCGTTCCTGTCGGAACTTCTTCAGAGGTGTGAAAGTTTGAACTCAGACTGAAGCTTCTTCCCAATCCTTTACCCTTCTCCCTGGGACCTCTCTCTCCTGTAGTTGGTTTCTTTTCTTTGACTGTAGTTGGCCCTGAATCTTTCTTTTCTTTTCCAGTTTTCTCTTCAGGATTCTTCTGCTGCCTTTCTGCTGTTCTGCCCTGCTGTTCACGTTTTTCTCCAAAATCTTTCTGGATTCTTCCTCTTGTCTCGCCACGTGATGCTGAGTCTCCTCTGACTTCAGCCTTGGAAGTCGACTCCTTATTCTCATTCCTGTTTTCACAACCTGATACAATAAATAGAAAATACAAATAGCACCTTTTTATTTTGAATCTATAGGTTAATGAAGTGACATCGTTTTCTAGGAAGCTCCTACATGTCTGCAAAATGACCTCACAAAGATAAAACAGAAGAAAAATAAGAAAAAAAATAGAGAAAATGGAATAAAGTTGAAAAATGAGAGGGCAGGAGGAGTGGAAAGGACAAGAGGGAGTGTGTGGAGAGGACGGGAATGAACAGACCTACTGGAGAATGAGCAGTGGGACAGAAACAGTTAAAAGTGAAGGGATGAAGAATTAAGAAACATAAGAAGCAACAATTCACAGTTCTATTATTTGGTTACCCAATAATTAATCTGAAAAAACAAATATGCATTTAAAAACTCATGTTGTTCATAATGTAAGAATTTATGAGCTTGAAAAGAGAATGGACAGGTCTTTCCTAGAAAATAATAAGTGGTATTAGCAGAAATAAAGGAAAAACAAAAACGATTCTATTCTGTGAAATTTTTTTATCAACAAGGAGATGGTTAATGGACAAAACAAAGAGCTCTGAACAAGGCAGGTTACATGGACCTTCAGACATAGGACATACTTTCTCTCCACCAGGGAGAATGGGGAGACCTGACAGAGACGAAGGTGAAGAAGTTGGTTTGGGCATTAGAAAACATAATAAAAACCTTCACTGAAAGACAACTGAGAATAGAAAAGAAAATGAAAACAATTCTAGCTTGCCCATAAAGGAGACACTAGACAACAAAATTTTAAAAATGTATAGCTGATCCTCTCACTTTAGCAATCGGCATATTAAAACATTGGAATATTTTTATTGTAGACTGCTATATTTACTTTGTTTCAAGTAGAGATTAAAAATTGTTCAACAAATATATATTATTTTATATATGTTTATATATATCCCAACTCTAGTCTTTTTTTTTATCCTCACCCGAGGGCATTTTTGCATTTATCTTCAGATAGAGCGGGAGGGAGAGGAGGAGGAAGAGAGAGAGGGAAACACCGATGTGAAAAAGACACATCGACTGGTTGCTACTCAAACGACCCCGATCAGGGCCAGGGACAAACTGAAACCAAGGTACATGCCCTTAGTGGGACCTGAACCCGGGTCTTTCTGGTCCGCAGGCTGACACTCTAACTGCAGAACCAAACCGGCCAGGGCTCAATGCTAGTGTTTATTTGGCCTTAAGAAACTTGTCCATAGACAGGCCCTTGAATGTAACTCTTGAGGGAGCTGAATAATATTTAATCCCTGACTTTAGTGATGAAATTGCCATAAATACTAAACCAATTGTAAGAAAGATGAAATTGGTCTACTTCTTTTTAATTCCAAGCCCAGGTCCTTGACTATAGTTACCAGATTAAACCCCATTTTTTAAAAAAGTTATTTTGGAATAGGTAATATCCAGCTTATAAACACGGATCTTTCTGTGCTTTAATTTTCATCTAATCCAAAGTGTAAGTACCAAGAAACCACAAACCCCAGTTTTCCCTATGGTTCAAAGAAAAACCTGAGGTTTCTTTAGTAATATCCTTTTTTAAGGAAGTTTCCTTTCATTTGCCCTCTCTCTGTCTTTCCCAGGAAGAGGCCTCACTGTGGACTTCACTGTGACAGGACTTAAATTTGAGTGCTTCTCTGCAGTATTGTTTCTCAGGGGTTGAGATCTAGCAGAGACAAATGGGAATGTCTGTTAACTGTTTGTTTATCTTATATAGTTAATGCCTCTTAGAATGTCTTTGTTCTTACTATACACCCAGGAACCAGAGCTCTTCATAGATTACTATTAGGTTTGGAAATCAGGAATCCTGATCACAAGGGAGGTACAGGCGCAAGTTCATAGACTTATGTAAAGATGTCACAGAGCATAGCCTACAGGACAAAGACAGAAAGTCCACGAAAGGATGCTTGCTTGGTAGGTCCAGGAATGTAGTCCCAGGTTAGGATTAGAACCAATGATCAGTTCTCACTTGGCCCTCACCACCAGGAAATACAGATACTCCCCCAATAGAGGCACCTAAATTGTAACCCTTAGGGAATGGGGCAGAATCGTCCCAAATAATGGAGTGGTAGAAGAGGTAAGGTCTCAGATATAAGAGTATTTCTTATTTCAAACAGCAAAAATGACCTATACATTAAAAAAAAAAAAAAAAAAAATCTACTTGAAATTGTACCAGACTTTTGGAGTTAAATGTTCTCATTCTCTATCTGGTTTGAAGAAAGGAGCTCAGTAGTTTCTAAATCCTTGTCAACACTCAATTGAACGTGTCAGAGATCCCACAACTAACAAAAAAAGGCAAAATAATCTTATCAGACAATAACCCTGCATCAGTCTTACCCTGGGAAAACACGTTCCCATAATTCTCCTGCCTGTTGTCCCTATTGAGATTCCTCCGAGCCAGGTTCTGACATCCCCATTCCTCCAGGATGAGGGACACGGCCATGTCCTCGATCTTCACCATTGCCTGAAATAATATGAGATTCCCACACTCAGTTCCCCCAAACCTCAGGGACAAACCCACTGCCCAAAACTGGAGTTAGGGACAGAGTTTACTACAAACCTACAGGATGCTGGGAAAGAAAAGGTGACCCTGCCAGGCTCTGGGGGGTTGAGTGGTGGGTGGGTCTACCCTGTGAGCAGGAACATCAAGAATTGAGTGTCCTGGGTAGAGACGGTTAAAAGACCTCCAGGAAGAGAGGCAGATATGAGGGACTCAGGAGGGCAGAGGGGCCCACGGCTCACCTGGGAATCTGCCGTGAATAGTGCAGATGCCATCGCCTGGTCTCTGGGATTCCCCTCATGATGAGGGGCAGGAACGTGGGTGGCAGGGACAGCTGAGGGAGGAGAAAGGAGCTGTGAGTAAAACCAACTCTGCTCTGGGCCTCCCCTCAAAGAAGGGCCCAGTGGCTCTCTTTTTCCTGCACCAGCATGTTCAATGTTCAACTACAGAACAGATAACTAGGGGGAATTAAAAAAAAAAAGCATGACCTCCATTTTCCCAAGACTTCTATTCTAAAGCAGGACAAGAAATTATATAAAAGGATCCTTAAAATCACCTGGTCCAACCCCTATGTTTAAAAGAAGGGGAAACTAAGGCCCTGAGAGGGTAAATAACTTGTCCAAAATCACAGAGTTTAGAATGGCAGAGCCAAATCTAGAACCCACGTTCCTACTCTGAACTACAGAAACGGGTAACCTTCAGCCATCATTCAATCCTGGCTCAAAATGTAATTTTCTCCATCTGAGAAACAAGTAATAGGACATCAGAATCGCATTTAGTTGTAAAAAAATACAAGGAAGAAAGGGAGTCCTTGTACTTTTGGGTAAGTTTTGTCATTTTTTGTCTACTTTTCTCTCACTTATCCATGTTTTGATAAAATATATACATGGTTGAAATGTTAATGAAACATTTATAAATATATAAAGGTATGCATAGTTTGACACTCATCTAATAAAAGATATCTATAATATGTCACATAATCATATTAACTGCAATGGATAAGAATAATTAGAAAGCCTGGCTGGTGTGGCTCACTGGTTGAACCTTGACCCATGCACCAAGAGGTCGTGGGTTCGATTCCCAGTCAGGGCACATGCCCAGGTTGTGGGCCAAATCCCCAGCTGGGGGCATACAGGAGGCGGCCAATCGATGTTCTCTTTCATCGATGTTTATGTCTCTCTCTTCCTCTCCCTCGAAAATCAATTAAAAAAATAATTAAAAAAAAAAATTAGAAAAAATTTTAAATGTAAAATTAAAATCCTTTCTTGACAAGTAATATTAGAGAAATTAATTTGAAACTGAATTACTAAACTTGTAACTATAACAGACAGTACAATAATAAAATAAGTCAAAACAAAATGTCCGAAAAGATTAAGTACCTGGCACTTTAACCTTCTGGGAGTTAGGAAACATTTTGGAAGATGAACAGTACAAAGAGGAAATTGAGAATAAATGCATATGCCTCAATTCATTAAAGAACTATTTACTAAGTAACAACTGTATGTAACAGAGTCTCTAAAACTGTTACTCTGGTAACCTGAAGATCTGCTCTGGCACTTAAAACCATGAATACCCTCCTTTTCAATTTCCTGATTTCACTCCTTGTAGAGAGCGGACAACTTATATACCCTAGAAGGTCATAAATGGGATTGGGTGGACAGTGGTGGGTTAAACATCACAGTGTACTGGTTTACACAGATTCCTCCAGCATATGAATGCTGGCTATCCTCCAGAATGCACAGAAGAGAATGCTTCCTTAAGCTCTAATAATTAAACTGATTTTTATTTATATGACCCTGAAATGATGCTTTCCCTCATGTTCCTCCACCAAAACTAAAAAATTTCCATCATTTCCCATTGTTTGAAAATTCTGAAAGTAACCCAGAAAAAGTGATGCTATGCAATATTTTTATACGTTTTAAATAAATAAATTTAAAAATGGATTATAAAGTAATTTATGATATACTATAGTGTTTCAAAATCCAAGCTGAAAGTATATCACCTCTTCCCAGCACTTTCCTATAAAAAAAAATGTGTTAGATACCAGAATGCTAACAATGCAATAAACAATGTAACGTCTACTCAAGTTCATTATGCACATTTCATCTATTTAACTCCTGAGATTGGTTTGTAAATTATACTTCCCTTCCTATTTAGTAATGACAATAATGTATAATAACAAAGAAAAAAGTACACTCTTTTATTACAGGCACTTAGGAACACAGAAGAGGCACACCCACCCTGAACAGTTTGCTTCTTTTCCCCCACGAGAAACCTTGCTCCTTACCCCGTGACTGTAAGAGGCGGGGTTTCCGAGATGAATGCTTGAAATGGGACTGGGTGGCCTCATGATGAAGATCAAAGCTCGAGGACTCCTGTATAGGATCCAGAGGCACCATTCCCCTTGCCAGCATCTCAGGTCCATGAACTTGACCTGGGACCTGAGGACAAACAGATTGGGCTTGTGGGTAAATCACTTTTTAACAAAGACTTTAAATGAACAAAAAGAAAACAAATATACCAGGATGCAGGGAAGAGAGGCCAGAATACTTTGTTTTTTTTTTTATCCTCATCCGAGGACATTTTTGCATTTATCTTCAGATAGAACGGGAGGGGGGGGGGAGAGAGAGAGAGAGAGAGACATCGATGTGAGAGAGACACATTGAGTGGTTGCCACCCACATGACCTCAACTGGGGCCAGGGACAAACTGCAACTGAGGTACGTGCCCTTAGCAGGAATCGAACCTGGGACTCTCTGGTCCATGGGCTGATGCTCTAACCGCTGAGCTAAACTGGCCGGGCCAGAATACTTTTTAATATTCAGCCCAGCCGGTGTGGCTTAGTGGTTGAGCATTGACTCATGTACCAGGAGGCTGCCACTTCAATTCCTGGTCAGGGCACATGCCCAGGATGTGGGCCCGACCCCCAATGGGGGGCATCCAAGAGGAGGCCAATCGATGTTTCTCTCTCTCTCTTCCCCTCACCCTTCCTTTCTCTCTAAAATCAATAAAGGAGCCCTGGCAGTTTGGCTCAGCAGTTAGAGCGTTGGCCTGCAGACCAGAGAGTCCCGGGTTTGTTTACCACTAAGGGCATGTGCCTCGGTTGCGGTTCTGTGCCCGGCCCCGGTTGGGATTGCGTGGGTGGCAACCAGTTGATGTGTCTCTCTCACACTGATGTTTCTCTCTCTCTCTTCCTTCCTCTCTCCCTCCTGCTCTATCTGAAGATAAATGCAAAAACGTCCTCAGGTGAGGATTAAAAAAAAAAAAATCAACAAAGGAAAAAAAAAAATTCAAGCAAAGCAGGAAGAATAACCACTACAGACTACTAACACTAACTTACATTAGTAGCTTATATATTAGTTTATTTTGTATATATAACATTATATATGCATATATAACATATATAGTTATTATATATTATATAGGTAGTATCTTATATATTACTACTACTACTAGTCTAATACTGAGACTGCTAATACTAGCTTTAAATCAGTAATTTTCTCTTTGCTCCAGTCTCAAAGTCCACGTCCTATTCACACATAAGTTTCACCTCTTCTCACCTGCTGTCCTGATAAATCAAGCTCCAAATCTTCCAGAAGAGACACGGCCTCCTCCCCACTATCAGGACGGTATTCCTGCAGCCAGACTTGAAGCTCCTTGGGCAGGATGGAAAGGAACTGCTCCAGCACCAGCAGCTCCAGGATCTGCTCCTTGGTGTTTATTTCTGGTCGTAGCCACTGATGACAAAGTTCCTTCAGTCGACTCAGAGCCTCTCGAGGCCCAAAAGTGTTCTGATAACAGAAGTGCCTGAAACGTTGGCGGAAGATCTCTGGGTCAGGTGGAGGAGTCTCCTGCAGGCTGGAATCCTGACCCCACATATGGTCTTCCTCATCTTCCTCTTCTACCTTCACTATTACGATACCATCCTTCTCCTGGGCAGCCTGGGGGGACAGACCAGTGGCTTCCCTTGATTCAGCAGTCATCATTCAGGCTCAGGGAACCGACTTGATCCAAATAAGAGTCTGTCCTCTCCTTTCCGTCCTAGGAGATGTTCTCTGATTATCTGTTTCTGTATGATTCCTGAAGTATTAAAAAGTTATTAGTACCTTTATGAAAAGTGACCTGTGCTACTAACACTTCATACAAGGCACTAAGAATGCCTCTGAATAAAGTAAAGGGGGGAAAAACACCTCCAGATTCACACTGTTTTTACTGTCACCTTATACATTCAAGTTTGCCTCCAACAGGCAAATTCTACCCTCAGAGTATTTGCCTGAGTCTGAGCACCTTACTTCCAGGAGGACAGCAGGCTATGACATCATGCCTTTACAGTGCTTAACCTAGTGAGAGCTAAATGTCAGCAGGGTAGAGGCAAGAGACTTCAAGCAGTACACACGCAATCTTATTTCATCCCACAACATTCCTAGCATGTAGGCACAACTGCTAGTACCATTTTACAGAAGACATGAGTCTTAGATCATTTAAGTAATTTGCTCATCAGCAGGTGGCTACCTACCTAGTAAAGTCAACATTCACACCAAATTTGAAGCCCCAGAATTGCTAACCTACAATCTAGCTATTTCTATTATTTGTATGGGTACTTTGGTCTGTCGAAAGGGAAGAGGGAACTCCCTATTTCCCCACACAGAGGGCTGCCAAGGTGCCCTTATTTACTTCTTCACTTTTAGGTATTGTGATGTTTCCTGGTTTATCTGACAACAGTTTGTAGAATAATGAATTATTTTATCTAGTTTGTAGAATAATGGATTATTGTATCACCTTTTGATTAGTTTGTAAGAACAGGTGATTTAAGGTCATGGAAAATGGAAAAGTACTAACTGAATCTCAAGACAAGTAGGGGACTTGGGGAGTAGATGTAATGGGTGAAGGGGTCAAATGGTACAAACTTCTGGTTATAAATTAAATAAGTCCTGGGGATGTAATATACAGCATGGTGACTAAAGTTAGTAATACTGTATATTGCACATTTGCAAGTTGCTGAGAGTAGATCTTTAAAATTTTCATCACTAGAAAAATTCTGTTTAATTATGGTAACAGATGTTAACTAGATTTATTGTGGCGGTCATTTCACAATAAATACAAATACTGAATCTTTATGTTGTACACCTGGAACTAATATAATGTTATATGTCAATTATATCTCAAAAAAAACAACAACCCCAAAACAAAAAACCAAAAACACGAGAAAAGCAGCTTCAAAGGTTTTCACAGAGAAACTACAATTACGGAAAATACTGATGACACCAACACACATGAACGAGAAAATGGCACAGCTGAAGTTTCTATTTAGAGCAAGGTTTTACTCGGCTAGATTACGAGGCAAAAACCAAAGTTGATCTAAACAACAAGTAAACCAATCAGTGAGAAAATAGCTTGCTTTAAAAAGAAAAAGGGGAGGGGATTTGAGGAAAGAACTACTATGAGTACAGATGTATGTTGGAAAACATACATTATTATGTAATTTTAACTGCCAAAAATGATTAATTATTCTTATTATGTACACATTTTAAAAACTTGGAAATATTTTCTAATCTGTTTAAAAATCTTCCAAATGAGAAATTTTAGTGGGTCTTAAGCCAGTTTATTAAAAATATAAAACACCTTTTGATTAGTTTGTAAGAACAGGTGATTTAAGGTCATGGAAAATGGAAATGTACTAGTTGAATTTCAACTCCAAAAATTTAGCATGGTTGGTGGGTGAATTACTAAACAGAGTCAGTCAACAATGTGTTTCTTCCATCTGAATTGACAAATCTTTGTGAAGTATCTTTTTCATTTCTACAACCATCAAATGAAGCATCAAATTCAAGTTTTAGAGACAGAGTATCCAATTGCTATATCACAATGAGTTAAGCCAAGAGTTTTAAACTAGAGAAGCATTTTTAATTGCATGGCTCTCAATAAAAAAAAAAAAGCAAACAAAACTATTAGTAATTTTGGTGACAAAGGGATCATGTACATTTAAAGTGCAAAGGTTATTTTTAGAGAGCACAATTTAGTGTATTTGTTGTTTTATTATACAAAATATTGGTATAATAGTACACGTATGTAATTTTTAGTTTTTAATTGATAAGAATGTGTGACCATAAAAGTTTAGAGATGAACATTTTAATTACAAAGAATATGATTTTAGCCCTGGCCAGTTTGGCTCAGCAGTTGGAGTGTCGGCCTGTGGACCAGAGAGTCCTGGGTTCAGTTCCCGCTAGGGGCACGTACAAAAAAAACAACAACACTAAAAAACATGATTTTAATCTGAAATCACAGGATTAGTTTTTCTATCTCATTTTTTGGTCCTTAATTAAAAACAGAAATCCTTATTAAACTAGCATTGTTATTTATTAATAACAATAAAGAACATTACATTAAAAAAGTTTTCTACTTAAATGTAAAGGAAATGGGAATTAGGTCATTTCTCCAATAACACTAAACTAGTAAAAAGTCCGATTGCAAACTGCCTTCTAGCTCTTCCCTTTGATTCCTTCAGACCTGTTCTGTACCCCACCCTGCCTGCTGTGGTAATATTTTGTTTTTCAACTTCGGAGCAGTTTTCCCAACAAAGTCCTTATAGCTACAATTATTCAATTTCCTAAACATTTCTGCATATCCACAATATGCAAGGTATTCTGCTAAACCGAGGGGAATAAAAAGATGAGAGACAGCTCTGGCTGGTGTGGCTCAGCGGCTAGAGCGTCAGCCCTCAGACCAGAGTCCCAGGTTCAAGTCCAGCCAAGGGCACGTACCTCAGTTGTGGTTCATCCCTGGCCCCAGTTGGGGGTCGTGCAGGTGGCAACCAATGGATGTCTCTCTCTCACAATGATGTTTCTCTCTCTCTCTCCCTCCCACTCTGCCTGAAGATAAATGTAAAAATATTCTCAGGTGAGGATTAAAAAAACAAAACAAAACAAAGAAGATGAGAGACATATAGCCCTGGCCGGTTTGGCTAAGCAGTTAGAGCATTGGCCCATGGACCAAAGAGTTGTGGGTTCAATTCCAGTTAAGGGCACATACCTCAGTTGTGGTTCAGTTGCTGGCCCTGGTTGAGGTCATGTGGGAGGCAGTCAGTGGATGTGTCTCTCTCACATCAATGTCTGTCTGTCTGTCTGTCTCTCTCTCTCTCTCTCTCTCCTTCTCTTTCTCTTTCTCTCCCTCCCTCCCTTAGTCTCACTCTATCTGATAATCAATGGAAAAAATATCCTCAGGTGAAGATTGGAAAAAAAAAGATGAGAAACATGATTCCTATTTTTATTTTCACACAAATAATTACAGTACAAAATAGAATGTGCCAACTGTTCTAAAGAGGTTTCAACAGGAGTGCCAGAGGAGCTCTGAGAAGTAACCTATGCATTAGTAACTGATGCATTAATAAGGCACCTTCTAGGAAGAGGCCCTCCTGAACCTGGGGCATCAGTACAGCCAAGACCTCTAAAGATGCTACAGAAAAAGGCAGCAAATAGGTAGTCCAAGAGATCAACCCTTTGGCTAGCTTAACCCAACTACAGGCTAAATAATTCCTGTAAGCCTTAGTTTCTTTCTTTTTATTCTAAAAAGTCAAAAGAAAGACTATCTTTTCCTGCTGTGTCCCACAATTATTTTCTACCACCCTAATTCAAGCTCCTTATCTCCTGGCTAGTATAGTGCCACAGCCCCACACAGTTTCTCTAGCTTCAATTTCCCTCTGTTCCAATAAGAAAAATATATCAAGATCAATACAGTATCGCCAAAGTATGCTTCTGGTCATTATCTCCTACCTGTCAATTATTGTCATGGAATCCTCAATATCTACTAATTTAGCGTTCGAATAATCCACCACACTGTACTTTTCCATTTTTACCTCCTACTACTTTTCTTAGTAATGATCCCTTGTATTTCAGTCTATTTGGCCCATTAATATTCCCTAAGCATAGGGGATGATTCTCTATCTTCATCCCTTTGGCTGTAACAAATTCCTACCATATCAACCACAGTAGTCAAACTTTTTATTTTTTATCCTCACCCAAGGACATTTTTCCATTTTTTGTTCAGATAGAGTGGGAGGGAGAAAGAGGAAGAGAGAGAGAAACATCGACGTGAAAGGGACACATGGAGTGGCTGCTACCTGCACGACCAACCAGGGCCGGGGACAAACTACAACCGAGGTACGCACCCTTAGGGGGAACCAAATCTGGGTCTCTCAGGACCACAGGCCGACGCTCCAACCGCTGAGCAAAACCGGCCAGGGCGTCAAATTTTTAATCACCTTTCAAGATGTATGTCTCCTGACATTTTCAAATTAAATACCTTCCTTCTTTAAACACCCTTAGTACTTTGTTCGTATCTTAAGGTGTTTATATTCCCCTTGTATTATCATTATTTGGGTTGCAGTTCCTATTCTCTACCTCCCATCTTAAGCCCCTCAAGGACAAGGATTCTTGTCTTCTTTGTACTTATCTCCTACAGCACCTGGCAGAGTTTAATTCTGTTAAGCTGAATAAAAGAAATAAGAACTATTTAGACAAATACAGTTCCCCTTGCCATCTTCTTATTGCCTTTAATGGCAATTAGTGACCAGATATCTACTAATATCACTCAGGCTCAGAATCTCACCTTCCTTTACTCTTCTCTAACATTCATTCAGTCTCCAAGCACCAAAGAGAAGCAAGTCTTTGTTCATACTTATTTTTCTATCTAGTTCCATGAAGTTCAGCTTCCTCCCTTTGGTTCACTGCCTTCATTTTTTTCCCACACTTCCCTCACCTCCTACCTTTCAGATTATTCTTCCTAAAATTCTATAGGCTTGCAGTCAACAACCTCTAGTACTTGGTCCCAGTTTCCCCTGAAACTTCATTTCCCTACAATTTCTCCCCCTCCCTTGCATGAATCTTTTCCATCCAGAAAAATGAGTTTATCAGCCTTTCCTAAATATGCCTTGTATTCTGAATGCCATCCTCTCCTCACATAATACTCAATGCCCACTTATCATCAGAACTAAGCTAAAATGCCCCTTGCCACTCATCGCTGTTCAACTGAAGAAGCCTCTCGTAGGCATAACAGTAAGAGTCAATACTTACTGAGTGCTTTCTGGGTACCAGGTATTACATTAAGCATTTCACACAACAATCTTAGGAGGTAGGTATAATTATCATCTCACTTAAGGTTTGCTGATGTTAAATAACATACCCAAGATTACACAGCATCGAAAGGTACGACCAGGATTTGAAATTAGGTTTGAGGAACTGCTCAGTTCAAACTCTTAACTATCATACCACTCACTCTGTCCCAACATGTGGGGTAAGGAAGGACTTCTGTGTGCATACAGATTCTAAGAGGAAGGCCTAGGAAGGATGACCACTCAGGAATAAGCCTTATCTGACATCCAGCTTTCACTAGGGAGTTATGCAACAAGAGACACAGAAGATGTAAATGGGAATTATTTAAAATCAAGCGGGTAGGGCCTTCAAACTGGGTAACTGAACAGAACTAGGGCAGTAACTAGCCCAGCAATCAGAAATCTTTTTATGAAAATTCTATACTGTCTTAGCTATATTAAGGAGAAGAAAAGGAATCTTGATTTGTGCCCACACCTAGGTCAGAGTTTTAAAGAGTAAGATGCTCTTTAGTGGGACTTAATAGGAAGAGACTCTGAAAAGGAAGTGAGACCTAAATGGACAGATATTCCCTCATCCCCATCCCCCATTTCTCTATTCCTATTCTGGGCAAGAGAAAAGTCACAACAGCAGTGGAAAGGCTGGGTTTTATTTTAGTTTTCCCAGATGATGCGAGCACAGCTTTTCTCCTCTCTAAACTCCTAGCCCTAATGGTCTGCACCAAACATTTGCTATTAAGTTCTTATGCTATTTCTATTTCTGTCATTTTTCATGCCTTCCCTCCTCAACTGGACTATTGTTAAGGATATGCTTCTTTGTACCTTTTAGACCACTTAGGATTTCTTGCAAGCCTTCATTTAAAAAAAAAAAAAATACTTCACTGAATTTACAATGTTACTATTATTATTTTTTTGCCCATTCATACAGCATTTAATGTTGTCCTCAAATTGGCCACTTGGAAGAGTTTCATGGAGCTACTCTACCACTTACCAGCTAATAATTTTAAGCCAATTAATCTCTCTATGCATGTTTACTACTTGTATAGTGGGGATAATAAACAGTATTTGCCTTATAGAGTTGTTGTGAGGATTAAATGAGCTAACATATGAAAAGCACTTTAAAAAGTGTCTGGCATTTAGTAGACACGACAGAAGTACTTTAATTTTTTTTCAATAAACATAAGGTATGTAACTTGTACTTTCCAATTTTCAGCCTACTTAAAATACTAAGAAATAGGCGGAATCCTTCCATAGTGAAAGCAGCACAGGTTGGAACACTTGAATTCTAGTTACACATCCCTGAGTTATTTAACCTCTCTGGCATTCAGCATCCTTATCTGTTAAATTGGGGGAAGGAGGGAACTGGGAGGAGAATACTACCTCTGGGGTCCCTCTAAGCTGAAAAACATTCTGACATTCTATCTGATTTAGATAAGATTACCCCCAGCAATTGGTTTTCACTAAGGATAAATACAAACAATTTTCTTACAAAAAGGGCTTGGAGTTACAAGTTCACTTTATTCCACAGGCTATTTTCTAAACAGGCCATTATTTTTTCCAGGGTATATTGTAGTCTTCAAAGTTTAAACAAACTGCCCCCTCCCCCCATTTTTGAACAGAACTATAAACCGTTTTAAACTATAAAAAAGTTACCTTTAAAAGACAGCTAGCTACACAAAGGATATTGATACCATCCCAAAATGAAAAGGTAAGATTTAAAACTATGTATTTAGATGCAATAAAAAGAAAAATAATTTAAATGCTTAAATCAAGTAGAGAATAAGCAAAAGATTATGGTATTAGGTAGGTAGCTTCCCTGTTTGTATTTTAAGACTGGTGAAAACTGCCTGAAATAATGAACAAGAACGTTGCATAGTAATTCAGTGAATACAACTTAGAGAAACATGCTGGAACAAACTGTCCTTATGGTTCTCTATGTAATGAAGCTATTTCAGTTGGCCAACATATATAGTAACAGTGCTTTGTTGATCAGGTTACAATGAATTATCCACAATTCAATTCAACAAGTATTTATTGACCACCTCCAAATCCGCCTAGCATTGGCCTGTACAATAAATGCCTTCTTTGGTCCCAGGCCATGTAACAGGCCCTCTCTGTAATGAAAGTATCTTATTGTGTGTACTGGAGGCCCTGCAGGGAGGGGTGGGGGTGGGGGGCACTGTCAGGGTAAATTGTAGCTGAATTTTTCAATTACATTGATTAATGTTAAATTTCAAAATTGGAAAGACCTTTAGAGAAAACCTAGTTAATTTTATTAATGACAAAACAGAATTTGCGAAACGTCTTGTCTTATCCAAGGTCACTCAGGTAATCAGTCTCTTAATCACCCGGTGAAATTTCCACAAATTTTCTTCACTCTCACTCACGCCAAGTCAAGCAGAGTAGCGACTCAGAACCGAAAAAATACACCTAATCTTCCTGACAGCTTATTTCTAAAGCCTTCAAAATATTCCGTAAGGCTGAGAAAGAGTGAGTGGGATGTACACAATATCTGCTGCACCTGAATCACTTCTTTATCCACTCTAAGCTTCAACTACTCTTGAATCACCATTCGGGGAAAGGGTGGAGTGAGGATAAGCAGTGATCTGGAAACACGTATGCTGCACTTCAAAACGTGCCCATTTCTCGGCCTTCCGCATTTTTCACCTTAAGGTTCTGATGGACCCCGGAAAAAAAAAAAACTCTCACTGGAATCAAAGCAAATGGCGACTAAAGAAGAGCAGAAAAATCAGACTGGGGTCGTGAGTTTGCTCGCGACCCTGTTCTCAGAAACGTCAAGACAATGTTGACACTGTGGGCGAGGGGCCCGGAAGGGGCCCGCACCCGGCTTCTCCTCAGTCCCCGAGCATCCCCGGTCACTAGACCCTCGCCCCCTCCCCGCCTGGACCCGGGGTGGGGTGGGGTGGGGCGGGTCCCTGGGGGACAGCACTTTCTACAGCCAGGCCTGGGGAGGGACCAGGGACTTTCTCACATTCCGGCAGGGCCGCCTGGAGGGACCCTGGGGCCGCAGCCCACCCTCACGCACACCCCCCTGCGGCCCCGCCCGCCCTCCAAAGAGGCCGGCCCAAGTCTCACCGTGAGCCCCGGGAGCGGCCTTGGGGCGCTGGGAGAGAAAGGGAAGCTGACTCTGGGGCTCAGAACGGCCGAAGGGTGCTGCACAAGGACCTAGGCCCTCCCGACGCCTCGACACAGACACAATGAGTCACAAAGGCCGGAAGTGTGTCAGCACCTCGCCTTCCGGGACTGCGCTGCGCTTCCGGGTTCTCTCTAGGAGTGCGGGAGGACTTTGCTACTCGGTTCCTGAATCGCCGTGCTCGGCGCCGGTTCTCCGGCCCGTGATGGAGTCTACCCTCTGCTTGTGCGCCCGAGTTAATGGGGGAACCGACGAGAAGGGAATTCAGGCTTTATGAAATTCAACAGACTGTGCAGCTCAGATACCAATTCATATGAAAATTCGAATTCTCCTTTCCTCCATCTCGGGTAGTCCTTGTAATAATTACAGTTATTATCAAGCATAATTTAGTAATTGTATGTCTGTGGCAGAGGAACTGAAACAAGGGTGTAGACAGAAGAAGATCAAAGTGAAGCCAGGGGTGGCTGGTTTCACAAAACTGCCTTGGTAAGATTCTCTTGGAGATGTCTGCCAATTGAGTGGGTGGTGTTTTAAAAAACTTGGCAGTGAACAAAGGACGTTTTTCCACAACCAACTTAGTTTTAAGGTTCTGTGTTTTGCTTATGTGGCATATGCTATTATAGCAGTTTAAATGGAATTTTCATAGTAATAACAGACACGTTTACCTTCAAGGTGCTTTGACAATCTACAATTATGGCCTTCACCTTTATCTGGCAGCAGTTAAGTTGCTCCACCTTATGTGCGAGGGTGACCATGGCTTTAAATGGTTGTGACTTTACCCATTCCAAGACAAGTTCATGGAGAGACTAAACTCAGAAGCTTGGTAGCATGACTAAAATTGCTTGGGGGAGATTATTTTCTAAAAAAATACTTGAAAACTAAAAAGCAGTTACAGTATCATTAAATGAAAATTGCAAAATGGGAAAAAGAATCATCTGTAATCTCTCCAGCCTAACCCAACTATGATGGCTTTCATTTTATGCCTTTCCTATCTGTCTTCATATATTGTTATATATATTTAACTTATTAAACATAATTCAAAACTATAATTGTATTGGATAGGTGGCTGTTGTGCTTGAAGTACTTACCATATTAATGCTATATGACCACTTTTTGGACCACAGCTGATTGGATTAGGTCTGGGCACCTGATGGAAGCACAAATGACTATGTGCTGACCATTGGAACTATAGAAGTGGCCTTGCTTGAGAGCTCTGACTAATGGAACAATAGATCCCCTTTCTTGGGGAGTTTAAATGTGAAACATACAGAAAACCGGGGGCAAGCAGAAATCAGTAAGCAGAAGCCATTAGGTGATAGAAACCATGAAGCCATGGAAGTCATGAGTAAGCAGAGGCTTGAGAGAAAACAAACTGAGCTATAAAAACAAAGACAGGTGCACCACATGGCAGAGCAGAGTACACAGAAGGAGCCCAGCCACCTAGTACTTAGGGCCCACAGCATAACGGAGGTGACAGCCTGAATAATCTTCAGGCCCCAATGTTCATTTTCTGGATTACTTGACTTTGCTGAAAATGCCATATGTCCTGTCTCCCTAATTTTCCTGCATGTCCCCAGAGTAATCCCCTGCCCAGCAAAATAATCTAATTTTGTTCCTTGTCACCTGGAAAAGCCCAATGTGATTAATGTGAAAATCATATGTGAAAAATCATAATGTGAAAACACTTAATAGTGTATCATTAACATTTTAAACTTTGCTACACAAAATGGATACTTATCATTTTAATAGCTATATAGTATTCTACTGAGTAGCTGTACCATTAATTGTTTAATAATTCTTTTATTTCTAGATGTGTAGAATACTTTCAAAGTTTGCAAGTTTACAATATATTTAAATGAAGATTTTTGTACACGTGTCTTTTGGCTTATTTAATTAGGACAGATTTTGACTGAGTTAATAGGTATGAACTTAAACAAATACGTGTGTGTGTGTGTATCCATATTTCTTCTCCAAAGAGATTTAATTCATATCATTGTCCTGCAGCAAAGTTATTTACACCAGAAGGGTGGGAAATATCCTCCCATTGGCTTAATTTATTGGATCGCATCAGAATTATGGCAAAATTTATTTATTTATTTGTAGCCATTTATCACCTATCAGGGATTATGCTTGATTTTGGAGGATTCAAAAGGGACATTGCTCTGGTCTACAAGAAGTTTACAGTGACCAATGTGTGGGTCACCAAAATGCAAAGTGAAATGATACATAATCCTTTACCAAATAAACACACTTCTCTGCCCTGGTTGCAAGTTTTCCAGAGCAGATTTAAAGGTTCTGTGTGGCCCCTCTTCTGAAGGTTACTCTTTGCTAGTGGAAAATGGGGTTGTCTCAAGGTCAGCTGTGTTGCAGTTTCTCCTCCTGCTGCCCCTAAGTGCCACTGCTTTTTGCTGTCTTCTCTGAGTCCTCTGGCTTGGAAAGCTTTTTCTTCACTTTTTAGACCTATGAAACATCCATATTACAAGACTGTTGTGCACAATAGATGTAATCCTAAATTTCTGAATCAACAAGGAAGATTATAATAGTGAAAACTGGAATCAACGTCAAAGTGAATATTCAGCGTTTTTAGGTCTCTCAGCCATTAGGAATTTATTCCTAACCAGCTCTCTGATGCCCTCTCCAAGCCCTTTGTTTCATCCAGATCCTTCTTATATCTCCTTTCTTCTAGTATCCTAACAATCTCTTACAGCTTTTATTCAACTGAACCTTGATTTCTCTTTTTATGTATCTTGATTTATGTCCCCAGTCCACCCAAACCCACCCCTCAAATGCACACAGGGGCCAGGCAGCCAATGGCTGGGATAAATTTAATTGTTACCTGAGTGTGAAGTGAGACTGGGGATACCCACCCATCTGTTGAGCCCATTCTCTGGTTGAGGGAGAAAATCACTCTTCAGGCTATTGTTGCCATGTGCCAGAATTACCAGATAGGCTAATTTTTCCAAGGGGAGAAGGAAATGGGATTTTTAGATGAAATTCCTCCATTTTTAAATGGCACTCAGCAAACAAGGGGCACCCTCACACAGGGCACGTGCATACATGCACTCCCTCTGAGTTGGGAACAGACAGGTTTGTAGGTAGGTGGTGTGTGCTGCCTCTTGTCTAAAGAGCCCCATGGCCAAGGGGACTTTCCTTTCTTAAACAAGTTCCCTCAAGGGGTTTCCCTAAACAAAGAACCATCTGCCTGTGAAATGAATGCTGATCCTCCTCAACAGTATGGAGGTACAGTTGCAATTTCTTCTCTTTCAATAAATAGACTTTTTCCCTCCCACATTGCATGAGGGAATTGTGCATCCTGGAGGGGGACCCACTAGGCCCTCAGTGAGGACATTGATAGATGTGGCTGGTTTGTGTGTGTGTGTGTGTGTGTGTGTTTATTTTTAAAAAGTTTTTTTATTTTTTATTTTTTATTGATTCTAGAGAGAGGAAGGGTGAGGAAGAGAGAGAGAGAAACATCAACGAGAGAGAGCATCATTGGCTGCCTCCTGCATGGCCCCCACTGGAGATTTGGCCTACAACCTGGGCATGTGCCCTGACCGGGAATCGATCTGGCAACCTCTTGGTGCATGGGTCCACACTCAACTGCTGAGCCACACCAGCTGGGCTGGGTATTTTTTTGTTTGTTTGTTTTAGACGTAACTTTTTATTTATTAAAAAAATTTTTTTTCTTTATTGATGTTAGAGACAGAGAGGAAGGGAGAGGGAGAGAGAAATAGAAACATTGATGAGAGAGAACATTGACTGGCCACCTCCTTCATGCCCCCCACTGGGGATTTGGCTCACAACCTGGGTATGTGCCCTGACCGGGAATCAAACCAGTGACCTCTGGGTGCATGGGTTAATGCTCAACCACTGAGCCACACTGGCCGGGCATGGCTGGTTGTTTTTAATTCTTGGCACCACCACCTTAGATCAGAACCAACCTTCTCAATTCTTTGTGGCCCTCAATGCCAGGGGGAGTGTAATGACCCTGAAGAAATTCCCATGGAGTCTGTGAGTGGCACACTGGTCCTGCTTGCAGGAAGGCTGGTGTTCCCCAGGCAAGGTGAATGGCTGGAGCCAGAGGAGGCCACAGGAGGCCCTCCTGGAATCTGGGCAAGGAGACCTCAATCAGATTCATTGACTACTTTCTAAATTGTGTAATCTTTCTCAAGCGCTTCATATCTCGCAGCTGTAGTAGGTAACTAAAAAAATGAGCAGAATGATATTGCAGTCTCCTTTCCTCTATCTAGGACAAGATGAGTTAGCACCTGGAAAAGCTACTGATAAGTGCTACTCAAATATTGATTTGTACTGCATTAACATGGCTTTCACTGAGAAAAGGCTTCAAAGCACCTGTCAAGTGTGTGTGTGATGAGGGGAGGAATGGGGACAGGTTGGTGGATAACAGAAAAATCTTTCTTTTCCCCAAAGATATGGAAAACATTTCCCAGAAGCCATGAGGAATTAAGAAAATTAGTTTGGATTTCAAAATGGTGATGGAGTGAATGGAAGCTACACAGACCATCTCCCAGGACCAAACTGGAATTACAACTATAATAAAGACAAATCGTTGGGAAGAAACAACATCAATGCATCTGGAGAGGACCTGTATAACCAGGGACAATAAGAGGACACTAGATTGAGTCTGGTAGAAACTGTGGGGGCACGAGAGGGTGGGCTGAGAGCCGACGGACAGCAGCTGTTTTAGCTGAGAGCAGCTCCCTCGGAGTTAAAATCCCAAGTAAGCTCCAAGTGCAGAGGGCCTGGACAGAGCCCTAATTTAGCTACACCCCCTCACCTAGGGCTCCAGCAGAGGGAGGGCAGACTGGACTGGAACTGTGTGAAGAGACTTGGGAGCTTGGGAGCTTGGGAGCTGGGAAGGCAATGGGAGTTTTGTGTTGAATCACTCCCTCACAGGACAGTATTCATATTACTCAAAGAGCCCCTTTCCAGAGCCCCAGGGAGAAGCAATAGCCCCTCCCTCAGGAATTTAACACCACCTGGCCAGGCCACAGAAAGGCAAATTGAGGCTCATTAACAGCCAACAAGCATCTGCCCTACCCACTGGAAATC